CTTACAGCTCCCAGACTGGAAGCCTTCCCAAATAGGCCACACACCAGTCCCACAGAGCGCTTCAGCTGCCTGCCTGAAGCCTCATGAGCAAAAACACCTCTGACACCCCAGCAACATTCGTGCCCCAGATGGCCCTGGGCCTCAAATACAGGTGAGGGGTTTTAGAACCCAATTTCACCTACTCTGAACAAGTTCTGTCCAGTCCCAAGAAACCAGCCACAGATCCCAAATCAATTTACCCTCCGGATCTTACTCACAAATCACGCTGAGCCAATCCTTTAGCATCTAACATCTAAAGGTTTATTGCTACCAGAAAGAAAAGCGTGAGAATAAGGTTGCTAAATAACCATACATTACATGCATCAAATCTCCCAGTTCTTAATGCGGTCTCTAGCAGAGATGTTCTAGCTGCTGGCTTAAAAGTCCTTGTTGCTCATCCTATAGCAGGATGGGTCTACAGTTCTTCCCGGCTCGTGATTCCCTGCAAGGCTGCATCTGGGGTCAGAAGCAGATCTGAAGACCAAGATGGAGTCAACCACATGGCATATTTATACTTCCTTCCTGGTCTCTCCTGGGCTGCAGCAGGTCACCTGGCCAGTGGCCTATCCCTGTGTGCCCTGCTGGCAGCTCTTAGGTGTCAGTCCTCATTCTTGAGGTGTGTCTTTGGCCTATTGAGTGCTATTGTCCCACATAGCCTCGCTAATTAGCATGTCCATAGGCCGGGCTCTGCCCAATGCTCAAGCCCATTCAGAGAGACTTCCAGTCTCCATACAGATTACAGAGTCCTAACTCCACACACAGACATAATACAGATATATGAAGAGCAGATACAGAATCAGAAGAAAGTAAGCTTTTGTTTGACCCCTCACATGGCCCCCTTTGTACCACTTTTGGGGCAAACACCCACCCACGGCTGCAGCAGTAACCTGGCTGCTCCCCTCACAATCCAATAATGTGACAGCCTCTGTTCTTGGCTATTAGGTTACCCATTAGGCCAGGTTCATACTGATGGAAACAATCACAGAATCCTAGAACTGGAAGGAACCTTGAGAGGTCATCGAGTCCAGTCCCCTGCCCTCATGGTGGGACCAAGCACCATCTAGACCAGGGGTGGCCAACCAGTTGGAGACGAAGAGCCAAAATAGCTGTGGATAGAGAGCCAAGAGCCACATGTTATATGTTTGTTTTTATATATTGATAGATAGATATAGTACACAAAATGTAGTGATAAGAATAACATTATGGGACATTTCTGACAAAAACCAATAACAAAGTCTCTAGTCACTTAAAAAATTCACAGCCAGTCCATAGATCGTCAGAGAACTTGATGAGGAACAAACATCAAATTTAAAAGAGAACCTTTAAAAATACAGTAATATTCTCACACTTAAAAAAACACATCCCCACCATTGGATAGTAGTTTTAAATTTAACACTACTGTCCTATTATGTCCTGTGAGTTACTTCTCAGTTCAGTTTAATTTAAAAAAAATAGCACAATTTGAAGTGCCTGTTTCACTCCAGTTTGTTGATCTCTGGTATAGTTTCCTTTTATTTTTTTATACACACTCATTCTCTCTCTCTCTCTGTCACACTCGCATTCTGTCTGTGCGTCTCTCTTTTTCTCTCTCTCTGTCTCTCTACATGCTAATCAAATGCTGAGGGTGCCCCTTTGGACGCTGGGGCTCTTACTGCTCTCAAGGGGTAAGGGAAGTCCACAGGAGCATTTCTCCCATTGACCTCATGCTGTGAGCGAGGATGGTGTTGAAGCTCAGTTTAAACTATGTGGAACTGATCTGTTTTTTACATGGTTGGAATTGCTTACCTTAAACCAGGAGTGTCCAAACTTTTTTCAAAGAGGGCCAGATTTGATGAAGTGAATATGCGTGAGGGCCGACCATTTTGCCTGACATTCTTTGAACCATTAAAATTAAATGCAAATTAACTATTTTATGCAAAGTTTATTGCAAACGGCATACTTTTCATTTCGTCACATGGATGACAAATCTAAACAGGTGTTAAATCACTCTGCCTTTCATATCTGAAAGCCAGATGAAAAATGTCAGGAATATTGTAAAGTACATTACATATTATTGGTAATAAAGGTTGTCTGTCAACTTTTAAGTTCAAAAAATATGAACAGGAACATAACACCAAGTATACATGTTGTGTCCAAATATATTTATAACTGATTTAGACCAACTGACATTAACTGAGATTTTACAATGTATTCATCTCAATACATATGGATTCGTTGGGGGGCCATAAAGGATAGATATTGCCAAATTACCTGGGGGGCCGTATTAAACCGGAACACGGGCCGCAATTGGCCCGCGGGCCGGACTTTGGACATGCCTGCCTTAAACCAACTTTCCCCTGTAGTGTGGACCTGGCCTAAGACAGCTGCAGTTAGTACTATATATAAATTTTAGTCCCTGTAAACTTCTTCTAGGCTTATCCAGCTGCTGTCCCCAAAACTAGCAGTTCAACTAAGAGTTCCTGACCATGTCTTACATAGTTATTGGCGATGGCTTCATACCTAGAGCCCATTGTTAAGCGATTACGTACCAGCAGGAAGCTCCCAAATTCCTCTTGTGCCGTCCCCGTTGGTCAGGTCTCTAGCTGAATGCTGATGGTTTGCCAAACTCGACTGCTTCTGGTGAATCTCTTTCTACTTCAGTGGTCTCCAACCTTTTTTAAGCACAAGATCGCTTTTTGAATTTTTCAATCCAGGATCTATCTCAAACCCAGACAGTGCCAGACCGAGCCAAACTTGCATCCTGGGCAGCAGGTATGCGGCCCCATCCCTAGACACATGGCGCCTGATTGACATGGTAAGGGGTGCCCTGCTCCTGGGCGCGCGGCGCCCCTTACCACTTCAATCAGGTTGGCACCTCGGGCAGCTGCCTGGCTAGCTCCCCCTTAATCCAGCCCTGAACCCAGATACCCTTGCCCTACCCAGTTGAGGTGAGGCACTCCATGCTCACGCTGTGGAGATGGAGTACTGTGGCTGTGATGGATAGGAGGAGCACCTGGCCAGCAACCGCTGACTAAGGTGTTAAACTCAGGTAGCTAGCAAGGCTGTTGGCAGGGAGCCAAAATCCAATGGGGATACAATGCTGAAATCTGATTTGTGTAAGATACCTTGCCTGCTTTCTTTGTGTGGAGAGAGTTAAACCAGGAGTTGACACACACAATGATTTAAACCCGGGCAGGATTACCATGCCCCCAAGGAATTCGGTCATGCAAGTGGAATGAACCCAGAAGGGGTTGAGATTAAAATAAAGGGAAAAGTGTATGGTTTGGTTTGAACTGCTCTGTTTGAATCTCTGCCTTCCCTCCCCCATTCACTATCTAAGAGTTGTTCCCAGAGATTATCTGTGTTTTAATGTGTTTTACTTTGCTAGGTTTTACAGAGCAACTATAAGTATATCTTTTGTTTTGTAATAAAAATCACTTTTTAAGGTGGTGATTTGGTTCTTGTGTCCTGGAAAGTGTGGGTGGGGTGTGCGTGCGTGCGTGCATGCCTCAGACTAAGAGGTCTGTTACCAGAGGCTGCAGTTTGTTTTTCTCTTCTCTTCTCTTTCAAGCTCTCTTGTGGTAAAGAGCTTGGGGTACCCCGGGGGGATTCAAGTGTTTCCCCCCTTTTTTTAGGGCAAATCACTTGATATAATGGCAGCTACACCCCAAAGTCAGTAAACCTGTGACTCTGGGGAGTTTTTGTAAGCAGAATCTGTAGAGGCAAGGTATTTTTAAGGTCTCTTGTGGGCCCCCACCTTCTGCACTCAGAGTGGGGAACAGCCTTGACAACACCCTTGCTAGCTACCTGAGTTTAACCCCTTAGACACCGGGTGCTGGCCAGCACTCCTCTTCATCACAGTGGCAGAGGAGGGGGGCACCCTGATGTCAGCAGCCCCCTCTTCTGCCTCCCCCACCCTGCACAGCAAGTAGAAAGCTGGTGGCGGGGAGCAGCTTTAAGGCAGAGGGCAGGCGCACCACCGAAGTGGAGGAAGAGGAAGCCGATGTACTGTCATTGGATAGTCTCCAAGCCAAACCAGACAGGATCACCTGTCAGAGACTCTAGCATTTACCCGC